TATATATATATATATATATATATTATTGTTTTTTTTGTATTCAAAATTGGTTGGTATGAAAATATTTGTTTGTTTCCTAATAAGATTATTTAGCATTTAATTAATACACGCCTGTTTGCTCCAATAAAGAGAACCATGTTTATTCTCTGATCATAAATATTATTGTATTTCTACTTTTTTTATTTACCATAATGAGGTATTCTCAGATGGCAAGACTTTTTCCCCTCTTTCATCATATTATCGGATCCTCTTTTACCTCCTCTGCATTTTCCTTTTTATAAATAAAATTTAAAACATCCTAATTCAATAATCTATTATTTAGTATCATGAACTGGAGTAGTCACTATGAGATTTATCATAAAAAATAAAAGAAAAAAAAAAGAAGGTAAAGGAAATCTGTGGGGTTGTTGGGAGATGTCCACATTTGGGTGTTCTCGCTCTACATGAAGCCAGGTGGAGACGCAATGCGAGAAAGGAAACTCTATATGCATATAAATATGAAACAAAAATGATACAACAATTGACTATTAGATTTGTAACGTCGAGTATACAGTTTAGTATGACTAAATGTTGAACGAAGATTATTACAAATAATATCCTTCACAAACAATTAAAGGAATCGGGAAATAACTGTAGATAATAGTTATACTGCTGTTGTACCACTACACATAAAAAGAGTGGAATATTTTCTTGTTAATTAGAAAGAGAAACTAGAGTTCCTACGGACTCCGCTTCTCTGTGTTTAGCAGTACAATATAGTACAGCTCTTGTGGTACGCTCAGGGCCTGTTTGGTTCTTTTTTGTGAAACACGCGAAAGTCACTGTAGCTAGGAAACCAGTCGTCCACTTAGACCTGATAACTTCAGTAAATTCTACCAAAAAAAGTTCATTTTGGTGATGATTGGTCAGAGGTTGGCAACTGGGTTTATTTTTTAACTGCGAAATCAATCTTCTATTTGCACAACCAAACATGATAAACATGCGAAAGCGACTATACCTGACAACTACAGTAACTTTCAAGCAAAAACAATCCAACCAAACAGCCGCTTAGCAGTTTTCCAGATTATTAAAAATCTTAGATCAAAAAAATATGGAACGATGGAAAACAGACTATATTTTTTCTTTTGATGTGATTACAATGGACATTCAACTACAGCATATTTACAATCTTACGAAACAGGGCCAGCTTCTAGGCCCTCGTGAATATTGGCCCAATAGAAAACTTACAGGGAGAGAGCGTGGTTCCTACCAAACGATTCAAGCCCAATCATTATCTGAGTATGCTTAAATTGGGCTATCTTATCCGACCCGGCCCCATCTCCACTCTAATTCCCTCACCAACCCTACGAGATACAGTGCAACGGTCACGATCAAAGCCTTCAGAATCAACGGTTGAAATTAACCCAACAACAGCCCCTCCCTCACATGCGCATCCCCCCCACCGAAAGCTATCCCCCTCCAGAGCCGACGCTGGCTTACGTGGCATCCATCCGTAATTTTTCCTATCTCCGCAGGGGCAGTCTCGTCCACGCACTTATTTGGTTCGCATCAAAACCTAGGGTAGCGACCTTCAGCCCGGATACCCAACGTTACCATACGAACCCATCATTATTAGGCCACCCCTCGAAGATCAACTTATTTACGAAAATAGACCCCACAAATCCTATCGTCCGGACAATAAAAAGGTCCCTTTTTCCTCCTCCTCTATTCTCCTTCTCTCCTCTCTCTCTCTCTCTTTTTAATTCGGAAGAGAGAGGGCGAACCGATCAGCGAACTTTTGAACGAATTCTTGCTGAGTTATGCCGACGACGGATCAGACCGTGATTAGCTTGAGACCAGGCGGCGGCGGCGGTAATCGGACCAGAATCAGTCACCGCTTTGATTCCCCGGCGTTCAGCGCTCTGACTGGTTCCTCATCGTCTTCGCAGTCCGATCTTACCGCGCTCCGGCCGCATGGCGGTGGCGGGACTTCGGCAGGTTTTAAGGTGCGGTAAGCTGGATCTAGGGTTTTGTTTTTGGGGATTTGGAGCTAGGGTTTTGGTTTGTGAGTTGGATTTTTGTTTGGATCTTAAAGATTCACATTAGATGTGATTAAGGATGGTCTATGTCTTGCGGTTTGGATTTAGTTTGAAGCACAAAGTTTTGTTCTTGATATAAACAAAGAATCGTTCTCGAATAACAAAGATTTTGAGAAAGCTTCGTTCTTGACCAAGAACTTCGTGCGTTTGGAGTTTCTTCAAGATGCCTTATTTAGGTTGTAATATTGATGTGAGCAAGCTGTTGAATGCTTGTTTGTTCCTTTGGATTTTTAATGTACTTGTGGTGAATACGATGAATAATAGGTTTGCTCATCACTTCGTGTATTTTGTTCAGGAACTGCTTTTCTGCAATTCGTATCAGCATGCAGTTTAGGGTTTAGTGTCTGCACTTCAGTGTATTGTCTGATTCTATTTGTTGATGAGAGATAATTTTAGTTTCTTATTACTTCACTTTAATGACTGTATCTTAGAGTGGAGACTCAAGATTTGATGGAGGAGAGCGCGTTCGATATACAAGGGATCAGCTTTTACAACTCAGAGAGGTATGCTTAACTTTTGACTTGCTAATTTGTAGATCTCTTTTACTGTCATCTGTCATTAAATTAAAGAGAGGAAAAATATGGTTAATCAAAATCTGAATACAATTATTACAATTGTTCTGCTATTGCTACTATTGCAATATTTTGATCACTCCCCATCTATTTGAGTTTCTTCTGAAAGAAGGAGACTTAGAATTGTCTGATAACTATCCAATATGGTAGTTGGTAAGAATTAATACGTAAAGCTGCAATTCTTATTCCATAGCCTAAGTTTTTTTTGGGTTAACTTTCTTACTGGTCTCAAACTAAAGTAAGGAATTCTACGAAGATCTTTGTATGATCATTTAATATTTAGTTGCTGTGTTTTGTTTTTCTTTCTTTCTGTTTTTGCTGGTTATACTGGTACTTGGATATTCTAACTTATGCATATTTTCTTTTTTATCAAATGAAGCTTCAAGTATGAATATGTTCAGAAATTAGTTTGTTGATCAACACCTAAAATAATATTGGTGTTGAACTTTTGGAGATCTTAAGAAATTAGGTAGCATATTTCTTATCTGTGAGAAACTTATGCATTTCATATTTTCTGTTATTTTATATGTTACAGGTTGTTGAGGTGCCGGAAGATATTTTGAAAATCAAACAAGATATTGATGTTGAGCTTTTTGGTGAAGAGCAAACTTGGGGCCGTGCTGATAGCAATGTGAGTTCTGGTTTGTGAATTCATAAGGAAAATAATAGCACATTTAGGCTTGGTTTGGTAGGAGGGGAGGTAGAGTGATGTGAGGGATAAAACAATTTTTTTTTTTTTTGTGGTAGGGAGTTGTTTGGAGGGGAAGGTGATATGGACTGGGGTAAAGTGTAGGGAGAGAAAGTGCAAAATGAATAGAAAGTGTAGAGGGAGAAACATTCCTCCAACTTGGACGGGTACATGAGGAATGAAGGGATTTGTTTCATCACGACTTTTATACCCTCACCAATTTTTCATAATCACTCAATACTCTATCTAATTTAAACCCTATTATTCTCTCTCAAAAGGATAATATTGTATTTTTACCAACTCATCATATCACCTTCCCTTCCCATCCTCAACCAAACAAGAAAAAAATCATGCACCTGCCCTCACCCTCCCTTTGACCATTTAGCACAAAAGGTTTGTCCTTCCTTGCACCTCATTGCACCTTACTGCACTTCACCTTCCCTCCTTGTACCCCCTTCCAAATCAAGCGTTAGTTTTTGTTCATCATGTTTTTCAGAATTGCTTCTCTCTAAGGGCCTGTTTGGTTCGATTTCTATAAAAAAAGGAAAAGGAAAAGTGTCAAGAAATTAATTTTCTTGTATTTCTATGAAAATTTTTAGGAGAATTTTTTAAATACAAGAAATTAATTTTCTTGTATTTCTATGAAAATTTGTAGGAGAAGTTTATATAACTCAAAAAATACTACTTTTGTTGTTTGTTGCTATTTCTTTGCTTGGTTCAAAACATAAAAACGAGTTCCTAACTTTATAGAAAATAGGTTATTTTCTCTTTTTTGGTTGAATAAGAAAATTTTATGGAAAAGTATAACTCATACAAGAATGTAGGCAATTTCAAATTTCTACGCAATTTCAAATTTTATGGAAAAGTGATATGGGCATACTTTACTACTATTTTAATGTAAATGTCGGATTTCCTTGCAATTTCCGCCCATTTGGGTTGGAAGTTCATTTCTATAAAATAGCACACTTTTACTTAAAGAAAACATTTCTATAATTTTTTTTTTGGAACCGAACATAGTTTATAGAAATCTACAAAAATTTATTATTCACGATAATGCCATTGTCAGGTGTTTTCCCAAACCTTTTCTATGAAATAGGTGAACCAAACAGCCCCTAAGACTACTTGTAGGAAATTTATTGTCAGCTTGTGCTGTATCTAAACTATTACGTATATAAAAAGTCCTTATCCCAATATTTTTGGTTGGCACATGAATCCTGATCCTGAATTCAGTTCTATTAAGATTTTTCTCCCTCGCTAAGGGCTTGTTTGGATTTGGAGGGGGTGAAGGGAAGTTAGGGGAACCTAGGGGAAGTTAAGTAAAGGGAAGGGAAGGGAATTTCTAAAACTTGTTTGGGAAACTAGTAAGGTGAATCAAGGGGAAGTTATTTCAGCCCGTTTGGAAAGTGTAATAACGGGAAGGGAAGGGAAGGGAATGCATATAACTTGACATAAATACCCTTACATAAATACCCTCACATTTGTTTCTAAAATTTTAGCTGTTGGATTTTGATCTTAGCTAGGGGTAAATATGTCCCTCTATATTTGTTGTATTCCCCCTCTTTACCTTCACCCCCATTACACCCCAAATTGGGGGGGGGGGGGGAGAAAAAAAGGGTTTTCACCTCCTTTCACCTTCCCTCACCCCTATTAACTTGCTATATTTACTTCCCAAACAAGGTTAAAAGTTATCCTCCCTTCCCCTCACCCCCATTACCCTCAATCCAAACAGGGTCAAAGTTAATCATCACATCCATCTAACTATTATGCATAATTGCCTGCACACACATTCTGACCCTCAGTATTCTTGCTTAGGTTCCAATTCAATCACAAGGCCGCCATTATGAGCCTGACAATCGTGATTGGCGTGATCGTCCCAGACAACCGGGTGCGGAGGAGAGGTCTTGGGTTCATGACCGTGACAATAAAGCACAGGATTTCAACCAGGATCAATATCCTTCAAGAGCTCAAATTCCTTCCTCTCAAGCGGTAAACATCTTACTATTGCCACATCCATCCTGTTGACAATTATGAGTATCTATTTAGTTGTTTCTTTCTGTTTGATGTATACATTTTTTGGGTCTGAAGGCTAATTTTTGTTTGATATGAGAAAGTTCCAAAGATTTACGAACTCACTGCACCTTAGATTTTCCTCATGACATTCCACTGATAAAGAAAATTACACAAAACCCATTCCTCTTTGCTTCTGAAAACAAAGGGAAGCAGAGGAAAAGGCTCCATTTCCAACTTCAGTCATATAATATCACCAAGAAATACACCTAAACACAAAATTTGTAGACTAACTTTCTTGAGTCCTCGTCCTCTATTGTACACACTTCAACTTCAATCTAGCACCTGCAGCCTTCAAACTCCTCAAACACCATAATCTTATCCCTTGAACCTGCTCCTGCTGCACATTGTTTGATGTTCTTTCCTGAAAGAAATTGTAAATATACGCTTTCATGACAAAAGTTGTCGTCATACATCTTTAAGATATATAAGTGTCAGTAGCTTGAGGCATAGTGCTGCACTTAGATTCGTCATCAGTTAACATATCTTTGCTCTAGTAGTTTCTTACCGATGTATTTAACTACCAGGTTTCAGTGTGTGATTGGTCTAATCAGCCTCTTTTATACATTGTTCTATCATGCATCCTCCTGCATCTAGAATTTACTTGGAAATGTAATTCATATTAATTGGCTGGGATACAAATATGACTGCACTCCTAGGTTCATATTTAAAGAGTCTATTGTCCTAGCTATAACAGCAATAATCTTTTAGAATACTTTAGTGTGCCTGTATGATCATTTTGTTTCACTATTCACTGTTTTCCTATTCTGAGAGAACCATTCACGTTCTCATGTTATCTATAGGTTTCACTAGCTAATTCCTTTATATAAAAAATAAAGTGTTCTTTGAGACAAGCTTATTTGTTGTCAGGCACTTGGTTGCAATAGTTTGACTAAACATAAAATTTTGATTTTGTTACTAAACAAGGCATATTACAAAGTTTTTTTGTATTTTTTAGGAAACTTGGAAATAAAGCTGATGGCTGGTGATTGCAGAATAAAGTTTGTAATGCAAGGAGATACCAAATTTTACTAGGTGGAGAGACGTTTAGACATGGATGTATGTTCATGTTTATACATGTACCAATTGGTTTTGTGAATGCAGATATGGTGGTGTGGGCACTGTATGATGATGATGATCTAAGATGATAAAAATGAAATAAAGCAGTCATAACTTGTCCAATCTTTTTGAGCCCTTCCCATTCAAGCTACCTCCCATACCTTTCTTTTGAAAACATGAATAATTATATGGTGGCACTATTTGTCCTTCATTTGTAGAGTAAAACAAGCAAAATTGACCCGCGTGATGCCGCGACATTAGTTTGAAAAAGTCACAGTAAGTAATGGTTTAAGCATTTGGTTTAAAAAATTATCACATCTGGCCATTTAGAAAATTATATAGCAAGGTATACCAAAATATAGCAACTTTTACAGCATAAGGAACCACAGAAGTACAAAGTAAGTTTAAAAAAGTCTTTGTTCTAAGAGGGATTTTGGAAGTTTGTCGGTTGAAAAATAAATAGGGTGTAAACTTTGGTTGATAGATAAATACCACTTTTTGGAAGATGTTGAGTTGAAAGTTAAATGAGGGTAAAACTTTGATTCATAGGCAAAGAACCCACCCACAGTTTGTGATGACACGGTATTGGTATAAAAAATGCCAACATAATAATGGTATAAATAATGCTTGATCATTTATAACGAAAATATAGCAAGTTACAACAGTATGGCTACTTGTATATGAAAGTTTGAAATACAAGGTGAGTTCAAAATTAATTTTCGTAGATTGTTTTAACTCTAAAAGTAATTTTATAAGTGGATAGGTTTAAAAAGAAATGAGGATAACACTTTGGGTTCATAAGCAAAAACCCCTTCTTGGAAGTGTGTGGGTTTTAAAAAATTGGGGTAGAGCTTTGGGTTTATAAAAAAATCTGAGTTTGAAGGTAGGTGGGTTTTAAGACACACGGGGGTTAAACTTTGGGTTTATTGGTAAAAAATCTCTAGTAGAACTTTGGAAGTGGGTGGCTATAGAATATTATTATTTTTTTGGGGGGTGGGGGGAGGCCTTGGGTTTATTGGGGAAAAAGTTTAATAGAAGTGGATGGATTTTAACATGAATGGGTCTTACATTTGGGGTTTATAAGGCAAAATCATAATTGTGTGGGTTTTGAAATAAATGGGGTAGGGTTTGGAGGAAAAAAATCAGGAAAGAAATCAAATTTTCAGGCATGGCAAAGGATTCAATCTCTACACCTCTTGTCTCCTACACCACAGTACTACCGCTGGACTACTTTGACCCTAAGTTACTTTATCCATAGCTTTCTATATAGTAGAGTTAACTGGGATGAGCTGTAGCTAAGCACTGTTCATCCCAGTTAACTTTAGCATATATATAAATGTGGTATTATTAATATATGTTGTTTTTCTATTCTAGAATACACATCTTTTTCTCCAGGCTTTTCTATTTCCTCCCAGAGTCGGGTTCCTTTATTTTGTACTTCTGTCAATAAGATATATCTTCTCTTGACACTTGTAATAGTTATTTAACTATTGCAGATGAACTTTTCTATAAGTTTATTGAACAAAATTTTGTTTCTGTTCTATTCTTTCTGATGCATAGGGTTTTAGTCATCATTCAACTTCTATTTGCTTCTTTTCGTTTCAGTTCTATAATAATATACATCTATATATGAGTTTTGCATTATCTCATGGTCCACTATCTAGCTGCTATCTGTAATGTTCAGTACTCTCTCTTCAATGCTGAATCTTTCCGCCACCTTTTTTTTTTCCCGAGCTTGTAATTTAGTTCACATGTATTTGACAAAGGCATAGACCTCATCTGCTGACGGAAATAACCTATGCCTGTGAGGCTTCAATATTAGATCTGGTCTTAATATGGATGAACTACCTGACTCTTTAGATCTGTTGTGTGGGTTCCATTGATCTTTTTTTCAGAAAGTTTGTCTAAGCTTGTAAATTTCACAAGAATGAGATTTAGCGTATATACTTTCCCAGGAGCTAACTTATGTCAAGTCGTGATTTGGATGGTGATTGATGGGCATTGTTCAGTGCTCCAATAAGTGGATACGTATGCGGAAAGCTCCTGCTAGGAAGTGCACCCGCCTTGATGCCTTTCTTCGGGTATGAAGTCCGTAAGCCACTAAAGCCACCAAGGAAAATCAAAAGGAAATTAAATACGATGCCTACATTTGCTTGCAACTTAACCCTGCAAGCTGTAGTACCACTTGCTTTCCATTTTGACCACTGTCTCCGACTTTTATATGGATTAGGTTTATGGTCAATTAGGGACACTGCTGGGGGGGTTGTAGAGAAATAATGAGGTGGATCTGCTATTAAATTTAACGAGCCTTTTTTAACTAGGCCTGGTCAAATCTTTCATCCCATATATTCTCCTCAATTCCTAATAACCTGCTGCCATGGCAGCAGCAGAGCAATGTCAAGGCAGTGAAAGTTTCATAAAAGCTCAATTTCATGTGATTCTGTTTCTTATCCTTCTTTCTCCCATCTTCTTATTTCTTTTTTTGCTTGAACTTGTCTTGGACTATAGTCATCTAGGCCCTGCCTAGCATCTTGTGCCTAGTTTCTTGTGCGACTATGTCATTGATTTAACTTGATTTGATCCATTCGCACCAACATAGTAGCATTTCTTTTGAAATTGAATTTAATAACTAATTTTCTGGTCAAATAAGACCAACACTATTCTGAGCCTGGTTTTAGTCATTCGATTCATAAATGCAAGCCTGCCAATCATCAAATGCGGAACTTCTGTGTGCACATATGAATGGAAATGCTCTTTCTGACTTCCTATAGCAGCAGAAAGATGCTGACTTTACCAGTTAAATTCTAAAACCATTATTTTCATATGACAATCATGGGTGATTGAGTTCAGTATCATAAGTTGCCACAGTTTGGATTGACAGTGAGTAGATAGCTTAGGTTGGTAAAGGAATACTTAAACGAATAGAATGACATTGGTGCTGTATTTGAGTTGGGCAGGTAAGGAAATTTTTTACTGTTCCCACTATGGATCTGTTTTACTCACTTGGTCCTCTTTATTAAAAAGATCAATTAATGAAAAGCTATTAAATACTCCAGTCAAGTTTGTATATGTCATATTAAAATAATATCTAAACGTTCTTGATGCGATATTCTCCTGCTCTTTTTACATGTATAGATGATCTATTTGGAGCAAGGTTATTGTCAATTCACTAGGAATAGCTGTCCGAGTTCACTTCTTTATATGCTTATGTTTATGAGTGAAGAACCTTCTTGAACAATATTCTCATTTTGACCGCTGTAGCTGCTTCGATTTATTATTGTCTGCGACGGTTCTTTCGTAATAACACCTAGGAATTAGACGGGAGTTTAAAATGAGACTATGAGATTGATTCTTTGTAGGATTATATACTTGTGCCTGCCTAGTGCCGGTTTCAATTATATTTTTTGACCTTCATTAGCAGGTGCCTTTTTTATGCATGATTTTATGCAATACTATTGTAGACTTTGTAGTTCTTTGTGTGAGTTCTTTTACTAATACTTTATGTTTGTTTTGACTTATATTTATTGTAATCAATCAGGGTGGACCTGCTCCTGCTTTAATTAAAGCTGAAGTTCCATGGTCTGCTCGAAGAGGCACTCTCTCGGATAAAGATCGGGTTCTGAAATCAGTTAAAGGGTACTTTTTTTTATTTTATTTTACAAGTTCATCATGCTAGGAAGTTCAATTACTTTCATAATAATTATCTCGGGGATGTGTTTTATTCTCTTCAGAACTTAGATCCTTTTTAAGTGCGTTGTTTTTATCTCATATAGGATTTATTTGTATCTTTTTATATTCTCTTGAAATGTTTCTTTAATTAAATCTTTTCTGAAGGAGGGAATACTTTGTAACTTTATTGTGTTTTTTGATGTGCAGAATATTGAACAAGTTGACACCTGAGAAATTTGATATTCTGAAGGGTCAACTTATTGATGCAGGAATAACGACGCCTGATATTCTGAAGGTTTGTTTGATTTCTAGTGCAATTTTATTTTACTTCTACAATAGTGAGTAAAGTGGTTAAATATTATTTGGCATGCAGGATGTCATTACGCTCATATTTGACAAGGCAGTATTGGAGCCTACTTTCTGCCCCATGTATGCACTGTTGTGCTCTGATCTGAATGAAAAACTCCCTCTATTTCCCTCTGAAGAGGCAGGCGGAAAAGAAATCACTTTTAAGCGTATACTTCTGAACAATTGTCAGGAGGCCTTTGAAGGTGCTGATAATCTAAGGGCTGAGATAGGTAAATTAACTGGCCCAGATCAGGAAATGGAGCGCAGGGATAAAGAGAGATTGGTAAAGCTCCGCACCCTTGGTAACATTCGTCTTATTGGCGAGCTTCTAAAGCAAAAGATGGTGCCAGAAAAACTAGTTCATCATATTGTTCAGGTTTGTGCATGCAATATTTGTTATCTTGTTGAGATGCATGATCTCTTTTCTTCTTTTCATTTTGGGAAAACTGGCCAACTCTGATAATGTACACAGGAGTTACTTGGGCATGATGGAAAAACTTGCCCAGCTGAGGAAAATGTTGAGGCAATCTGTCAGTTCTTTAACACAATTGGTAAGCAATTGGATGAAAGCCCCAAATCTCGTCGGTTTAATGATGCCTACTTCAACCGGTTGAAGGAGCTCGCAAAGAACCCAGAACTTGCGGCACGTTTAAAGTTCATGGTTCGTGATGTACTAGATCTCCGTGCCAACAAGTGGGTCCCACGGCGTGAAGAGGTAAAACACGTTCCGTGCTTCGGATATATAATATCTAATTTAACAAGAGTTTCCTTCCTTTTATTGTTGTTGTTCGAACTAGATTTTGTTTCACTTGCCCCTTGAGATGCTCATTATTCACAAAAAAAAAAGGAAAAGAGGAAATGGACATGAATGGTTATAATAAGGGATTGGAGCTGACTGTTACAAGGGAGGGCTGTAGTTTTGACGTATGCTCATGATGAATCGTTTTTCTGACATGAACAAAAGCCTTCAGATAGTAACATGGCTGTCAGTATCAAATTCAAAGTTTTGAAATGCTCATTGATTACGGAATAATGGAGAGAGAGGTGAATAGCTTATAATAGGAATGGAGCTGGCTTTTGCTGATGGTGAATGGATTTCTGTTTGAACATCCTATCAGAGAGTAACGTGATTGACGGTGTTAAAATTCAAAGTTATGGTAGAAGCTTCAATAAAAGTTGAAAGCATAATACGGAAGTTTGTGTGATCTAGAGGGATGAGACAAGAATGGGGTGTAAGAGGTTAGAGCTGTGGACAGAGAAGATGACAGGATTGATAACTGGGCATGAATAAATGCAGAAAGCTTGGTTGATGGTTGAATGACTTTTTTGAAATGAGAGTGATGCTAAAGAATGATGTAGGGTTGAGATTAATAGTAAAAAGTTTTACAAAAGTTATTGCCAATGTTTATTATTTTATTTCATTATATATCTTGTTTAGTTCTCTTATACCAAATTTCTGGTTTCCTTCTGTAGATTAAAGCCAAGACCATCTCTGAAATCCACAGTGAAGCAGAGAAGAACCTCGGACTTCGTCCAGGAACAATGAGAAATGGCGGTCGTGGTGCAGGTGCAATAGGAGGCCCTCTCAGCCCCAGTGGCTTCCCTCTGAACCGTCCAGGCACAGGAGGCATGATTCTGGACATGCCCGCTGAAGTTGCGAAAATGCCAGGCAATGCCTGGCCTTGATTATGATAATTGGAAGTTCGCCGATCTAAATCAAACCTCAAAGCCGCCACTTTGGTTGGAAAAGCATCACCTATAAACTCTAAGCTTTTGCCTCAAGGCAGCGGTGGCCTTATCAGCGGTAGAAGTAGTGCATTGTTAGGCAGTGGGGCCTCTCGCCCTTCAGAGACTCAACCTCAAAGTACTATGAAGCCTCTTGGACCAGTGACTCCAGTGGTCACTGAGAAACCTGCGACAATTGCACCAAGGGTGAACCCTGCTGAGCTTCACAAGAAGACAATCTCACTTCTACAGGAATATTTCCATGTCCGAATCCTAGACGAGGCAGCACAATGCATAGAGGAGCTAAAGAGTCCAGAATACCACCCTGAGGTTGTCAAAGAAGCCATCAACCTCGCTCTTGATAAGGGTTACGCTTGTGTCGAATTGGTGATCAATCTTTTAGACTTCTTGCTCGCAAAGAAAATTTTGACCCCACGAGACTTGGGGACTGGCTGTTTGCTTTATGGGTCGATGATGGATGATATTGCCATTGACTTGCCGAATGCACCGAAACATTTTGGTGAGGTTGTTGGTAAGCTCATTGTTTCTGGTGGGCTGAGCTTCAAGGTAGTCGAGGAGATCTTGAAGAAGGTGGAGGATTCTATGTTTCGATCTGCAATGTTTGATTCGGTCATGATGACCGTTGAAGGTAGCTCGGCGGATATTTTGAAAGGGCAGGCGGCAGATGTTAAGACTTGCCAAAGCCTTGTTTCTTGATCTTTTGTAGGATTGCCGTGCTCCCTGTAACGTTATGAGGAGACTACTTCCTGGTTTTGATGTTAGTTTTAAGTTGGTTCTTTTCATTTCATGAGTTGAGTTGAGTTTGTGATGGAATTAGGTTGTCTTAAATGGACATGTGAGGAACAGTATAATTTTATGAGCTGTATATTCCTGCGAGATGATATGAATATTTATTATTGATTTAAGACTAATTTTGAAAAAAAGTGCTCTTGGGTTTTTGGCCTTGAGCTACTTCATGTTCTTCTTGAATCAGTTATATTGTTTTGAGCGATTATGAAGGTAAATATTCTGCTGCTCTCCTTCCTGTAAGCCAGTTCGGTCAAATTTCATTACAAATAATGTTAGAGGCACACCACCCACCACAACCCCAACCATACTTCCCCTCTTAATGCTACAGTAAACCGGGCCCCACATGAGATTTTAAATTTTTTAAAATCTCATGTGAGTTCCGGTTTACTGTAGCATTGAGAGGGGGGAGTGTGGTTAGGGTTGTGGTGGGTGGTGTGCCCCTAACACCACTCTTTCATTACAAGCACGCTTTTGCACGTGATGGCCAAGGTCGTGTACGATGAATTTGCGCAGGGCAGAATGTATCTTTTATGGGGTTTTCCCCTATGAAACCACTTTGTAAGGGGCTGAATCTACAAAACTCACTTTTGAAGTTCTTTTATAGATATAAACCATGTTATGAATGGGTTTAGTTTTCGATCAATTATTATTTTTTGTTAAATTCTACTCAATTAAAATTTTAATTATCTAAATTATTCTCATTAAATTACACTTGTAGGTGTACAACATGTGCTAGACACGTGTAATCAATAAAGATAGTTTAGATATTAATTGAGCAAGAATTGATAAAAAGTGGTTGATTGAAAGTCCAAATCATTTATAAAGTGGTTTACGTATAAAAAGGACTTCAAATGAGTTTTCTATCAACTCCACTTTTTTTGAAGGTAGCTTGTGTTTTCTATTGACTCGACTCATTTTAAAGATGATTCTCATTAAAAAAACATAATCAATGATTCTAAAAAGAAATGTGTTCTATGCAAATGAGAAATGCCCTTATACTTCTATCACAAAGCCGTTTTCATATTCATGTTATGTTTGTATCCGACACCAATTGGAGAGCACTTACAAATGTACGCATTTATGTTAACGCATTTATGCAAATGAGAAATGCCGTTATACTATAATTTCAATTTATGCAGTTCTGGGACATATATCTTATATTTGACACATACTTCTTGAAACTTGTTAGACACAAATCGGATTAATTTTGACACGTGCTTAGTTCAGAATTTTGACAAATGATCGTTTTTAATTTGTAATCTACATAATAAAATGAATATTTTTTTTCCTAAATGCTAATTAGCGTAAATATTGATGTCTAGATGGTTCTTTATCTACTCGAATTCTTACTTTCAAGGTTATTTTCGTCTTTTACCAACAGGGCAAATCCGTCAACATACACCTTTCTCGCGCTCGCCTCTTCAAATGCCCCTAAAAACCCCTCGCGCCATCTCATCTCTCTCTCTCTCTCTCTCTTATCAGAGCTCGCTTGAAGAAAATGGCACCGCCATCGTCGACCTCGCCGACGCCTGATCCCAACTCCATCAAAATCGCCCTCGCCATCGCCCTCCTCCGATTGAAGAAACTCCACCACAAGCTTCCCTCTCCTTCTTCCACCTCCGACGCTCAGCGCTGGAAGCAGAAGGTACCGATCTAACCCTAGATCTCTCCCAGTCGCTTAGAGAAACGTTCCCAAACCCTAACGCTAACCCTAATTTTGTTCCTGCAGGCAAAGGAGCGGAAGAGAGAGATCCTGAGGCTCAGAGAGGAGCTCAAGCAGCTCGAAGGTTCTCTTTTCTCCCAATTCGAAATCCTAAGTACGAGGATTTATCGATCTGTTGGTTATTTTGTTTGGATTTGTTAGATGCGAAGGAGGGAGAGGATCTGCCGCAGATCGCTGCTTGCCAGTGCCATTTCTTCGATGGTTGCGGTGATTTGAGGAAGGATAGGGAGAATGGAGGCGATGAGCACTGGATCAATGAAGTTTTGAGGAGGCGATTCTTAAGGCTTGGTATGTAATTTCTATTTTTGAATTGGATTTCTTTTAGTTTTTTTTTTTGGTGTGGAATGAATTGTTGGAATTTTTAATTTCAGTTCGTTGGAAAGAAAGGAGGAGAAGGGTGGAGGGTTCTCTGCACAGGAGGCATTTTCTTGGTAAATTCCAATTGTAAAATTTCTGCTTCTTGGTTGTTTATTCTAAGTTTGGTTGCTATTCTTACAAGAACCATCTCATGTGCATTTGTTTCCCCTTTGGTGCTGATTTTCGAATCTTTGATCATATCATTATACAATTTATTTGTTTTGCATATTGAAAAGTCACATTAGACCCCTAACAATTTTTTCTTTGTTTTTTCACCTTCTTTGGTTGCTATTTTGTAAATTCAAATTTGTAGCAAATGACAAGCAGAAATTCTGGCAATGTAAAGAATAACATGCACACATGCACACTCATATTATGTTAAGGTAAAGAGCTTTTTCTCTTCATCTTAATTACTTAATTTCGTACTTGAGAATTGTTTGCTTAAGAATATTAGTAGAATGCAACGAGGTGGTTTCAAACATGTTGAGCTAGTTTTTGAAGATGAAGGACCTGGTGTAGGGGAATGAAGTTTTCGTGTGAACATGTATTTGTAAGTACGAAGCCCTTAAAATAGTTTGAGAAACTAAACATGATAGATCAATTCTGTTTAAGGTTTCAATATGCTTCCTCGCAAACAGAGACATAATTTTATCGTTTTAAGAATGTAGAATCTCTATTCTTTAGCTGAATTAAGAAGCATTGCAATTATGAAAGAAGAAATCCATATATAGGAAAACATTCAAATATGACTGGGATCAGACATGTACTGCCTGAAATTGCAACTTGATCTCGGCCAACAAACTTTTAATGCAAGATAAACATGGGTGAGTATCCTTTGTAGGGGTAAGAATTGCTGGTCAAACTGCATTATATGAGTGCTTAAGAGCTAAAATCAAAATCTTTTTTAGATTTATTACTTATGTTGTATCTGAATCAGTCAAAATGTCAACATATTTCAACACAAAGTTGGTCAGATTAATGGCTAGCTAGTATTGTAACATATTCACATATGCGTTTTAGGTATGTTGATTCCCCCCCCACCCCACCCCACCCCACCCCAAAAGAAAAGTCCATTGATGTTTTAATGCATAATTCATTTTCTATCTTAGCCCATTTGTATTTGTTAGAATCCTCTTAACATATGGTGTTGTCTTTTTCACTTCACTTATTGCAATTCCTATGATTCATGAATTATAGCCTACCAGATGAATTCTTAACTATGAAACAGGGGAACTTCTATTGAAGCTGTGTTGTGTTGGACACACCTATTAGACATGATGCCTTTGCCTATTCAATGTACTTTTCAGAAGGGGTTATTTGTCATATCATTTGACCTGAAGATCATTATCGTGCTTCTTTGGTTCTTCAATAAGATGGCTCACTATTAACTTCTACATATATAGGTTTAGGATCCTAGTTTGATGTGTTAATGGCTGGAAAATTGTCCTGGAATCCTATAGGTCTGCTCTATGAGATTGGGAAAAATCTTAACTGAGACTTGACTGATATTTGTGGCAGCATCACAGCAATTAAAGTTTAAGTGCAATTAAAGTTTAAGTAGTAATTTGACTTCTTTAAAATTTTATCAAATACTGTACGATACGTGGTTGATTATGGAACCTTACAGTCCATGCTGTTACTTTCCTTGTCTCTATCTGTTTACATTTATATATGATCTAAATAAGTTTTTATGAACACTTCAAGACAAAAACTTTATGATCTAACATTTACTTTTCTTATGTTTGTTTTCAATTAACAAAAGCCTTTTTAACTACTGGTTTTGGTTTGAATGGTTTCATTATTCCTCTGTAATGAAATGAGGCAGCTGAACTCCACCTATTTTTCTTCAAGGAGAACTTGCTTTGTGTCCTTTAGTGGTTTCCAGATTTTTATTTTAATTGGCACCTGTGGATTTGGTTTTTTATTTTTCTGGATAGGGTAGATTTGTTTTGTTTTTTTAGCTAGTGATGATGATGTTGTATATCTGCTGACTAGAAGAGTAAAAGTCAAAATGTTGTATAATCTAAATTATTAGTTTATATTATTTTGTTACCTTTGTTAATTTTCTTATATTGATGGACTATGAATGCAAATTTCCAGACTTGATATTTTTTTTTGACTAATCATAGAGTTCAACAGTGAAAGTGAGTTTGAGCAGCTTGGTACATCAATTGAATTATTGGTGGAGCTTTCAAGCATTAATTCTGTCAAAGTAAGTGCTTTTCTGTCACTAGTCATAAAGATAGTCTAATCTATCTCTTTCATATTAGAAGCTCCTGCATCTCTGATTTTCTTGTTTCTATTATGTTGCATAGGAGGAATTTGGTGCTTCTTTTTCTACATTGTCACATCAAGCTACAGATTTTATTTTAGGTAGGCTCTCATCTATTTTCATACAGTTTTTCCAAGATATACAAAAAACTTACATGCCTAATTGATGGTCATATGTTGATTCTCCGCTTCTATGAAGTTTTTAGAGAAGAGTTCTGGAAAGGGTTAAACTATTTCTCTACTTTTGTGCATATTTCAGTAAAATCTACTTGATATAAATTGTCTTTCTTTATCCATACTTCAGATGTTTGCCTTAATTTATTTGTCCGTTATGTGGGGGAACATACGGATATTCTTTTTAGCAAAAGCGTTCTTGTCTTTTGGTCGTTCCAATGCAAAGACTTAAGTGTCAACTTTCAAGTAATCTCTCTGAGAACTGATAGCTCCACTGTTAAGGCAAAAGTAACCTGCAGATGGTTACTCTATGAAAAACAGTACTGGATAAGCTCAGCAAATCTAGGCATGTGTATATCTTTATGTCAGGTTGAATGATCAATTGACTGTTGCATGTCCAATTATCAAAACTAAATCTGAAATATGAAGTCTGTCGATAATAACATTCTGCACGACCTATTCTCTAGAATTTAGCTGCATCATCTCCTTATCTTTTCTTCTTTACTTACATTTTTACTTAGCGTTTTTGATTCTTCTCCCTCTGTTAGGGTTTTTGATAAGAAGGGAAAGCGGTAGAGAGAAAAACGATAGTTTGGTGAGAACTTCTCAACTCCAAATCCTTCATTGCCACAAAAGAAAGCAAAACTCGAATGGAGGTATGTTTCACTACAGGAGAGAACACATCATTGAAATCCACACCTTGGACTTGACTATACCATTTAGCCACAAGTCTTGCCTTGTATCGAAAATCCGCGGGATTTGAGCCATCAATCTTCCTCTTAAACACCCACTTGCAACCCACAATTCTCTTACCACTAGGAGGCTTCACAAGAGACCAAGTCTCATTTTGTTGCAATGATTGTAACTCTTCATTCATAGCGGCAACCCAATCGGTCGCATTCTTCGAAGAGATCGCCTCTTTGTAACAAGATGGCTCGTTTGAATCCAAATCTTCGGCAATGGACAAACAATAAGCATAATCGGAATATCCATATCTTGAAGGTGGCCGGATTTCCCTTCTTGTGCGGTCCCTCGCCAAAGCATATGGTTGATCTTCTTCTTCCTCTTCTTCGATATGAGCATCATCATGATGTGACGTGGCCTCATCACCTTGTTGGACCGGCACTTCAAACTCCACCTTCTTCTCAAATGTCTTGTCCTCCTTGGTAGTTGGCTCGGATGCTCCACCTTGTGTCTTCAACATAGTCGATTCATCAAATGTAACATCCCTTGAGATGAGGAACTTGGACAATTTAGGACACCATAATTTGTACCCCTTCACATTCATAGGATACCCAACAAAGACGCACTTCTTCGCCCTTGGCTCCAACTTTCCTTCATTCACATGGAAATAAGCGGGACAACCAAACACCCGCAAGTTTGAATAATCGGCCGGCTTACCCGACCACACTTCTTCGGGTGTCTTGCACTCAATCGAAGTGGTAGGAGATCGATTCATCAAGTAGCATGCCGTGCTTATGGCCTCGGCCCAAAACTCCTTACCCAAACCCGCATTGGAAAGCATACACCGAGCTCTTTCAAGTAGTGTCCGATTTGCCCTTTCGGCAACACCATTTTGTTGTGGAGTGTGTACAACCGTCTTATGACGAACAATCCCTTCGGCCTTACAAAAGTTGTCAAACTCACGGTTGCAAAATTCTAAACCATTATCGGTCCTCAACCTTTTCACTTTCCTTCCCGTTTGCTTTTCCATAAGAGACTTCCATTCTTTGAAGTTTTTGAACACTTCACTTTTCTCTTTCAAGAAATAAACCCAAAGCTTCCTTGAGAAATCATCAATAAAAGTGAGCATGTAACGGGAGCCATTTCCTCTAGATGGCACTTGAGAGGGTCCCCAAAGATCCGAATGGATGTAGTCCAATGTTCCCTTGGTCGAATGAATGGCCGTCGAGAAGCTCAATCTCTTTTGCTTGCCAAGTACACAATGTTCACAAAACTCCATATTGCCGGTGCATTGGCCGCACAACAAGCCTCTCCTACTCAAAATGGTCATTCCTCGCTCGCTCATATGCCCCAACCTCATATGCCACAACTTCGTAACATCCGCATCCGTGGTAGGAGCCGCAATAGCCGCCGAGCCCGTGACCGTAGAACCTTGCAAGAAATAGAGAGTTCCAACTCTTCTTGCTCTCATGATTGTGAGAGCCCCTTTTGACACACGAAGAACTCCACCTTCACTTTGGAACTTGCATCTCTTTTCTTCTAAAGAACCCAAAGAAATTAAACTCTTTGTCAAAGCGGGTATGTGTCTCACACCCGTCACTCTTCGGATCTTGCCATCATGAAACTTGATCTTTACCGAACCAATCCCTTCAACCTTGCACAAATTGTTATTTCCCATAAGCACTTTACCATCCGTGGGCTCATAGGTCTCAAACCAATCTCGATTAGGAGTCATGTGTTGTGATGCACCCGTATCCATAACCCAACAATTCTTGTCATCAATGTTGGTATCAACCACACACAAAGTATCCATCGTGTCACAATTGGCCACATTGGCCTCTCCCGAAGAAGCACCTTTATCCGCCTTTTGTTTGTTTGTCATGGGAAAAGAGGATCATGTTTGCTTGTTGAAGAAGTCCCTTTATGGCCTTAAGCAATCCCCGCGGCAATGGTACAAGAAATTTGACTCATTCATGGTAAGTATTGGCTTCCACCGTTCTAGCTATGATAGTTGTGTTTACTTCAAGAAGCTAGTGAGTGATGAGTTCATCTATTTGTTGCTCTATGTTGATGATATGTTGATTGCGGCCTCCGATTTGGGAGAAATTCGAAAGGTGAAGGAGCAACTTGGTTCGACATTTGAGATGAAAGATTTAGGGGCCGCCAAAAGGCTTCTTGGCATGGAGATCACAAGGGACCGGTCCAACCGGAAACTATCTCTTTCACAAAAGAGTTTTGCCGAGAAGGTGATACTCCGATTTGGAGTTAGAGCAAATGGATGTGAAAACCGCCTTCTTGCATGGTGATTTAGAAGAGCAAATTTACATGAAGCAACCGGAGGGTTTTGAAGTATGATGGGAAGACGAGTTTTGCACTTTGGCAAGTGCGGATGGCCGCCATATTGTCCAGTCTTGGAATTAAGGGCGCCATATATGGTAGAGATAAGTTGGTTGAAGCCGTTACCGATAAGAAGTGGCTTGATATGGATGATAAAGCTCTTTCGACCATCCAATTGTGTTTGAGCAATTCAACACTACAAGAGGTCCTTTCGGAAAAGACCGCCAAGGGTTTATGGGAGAAATTGGAGAGTATCTACATGAAGAAGTCTCTTACCAACCGATTGCGGTTAAAGTTGCGCCTCTACACTCTTCGTATGGTTGAAGGTACATCCATTTCCGATCATATTTCGGAGTTTGCATCATTATTAAATGATTTGGACAAGTTGGGTGCTAAGGTAGAGGATGAGGACCAAGCTTTATTGTTGTTGTGCTCATTGCCGGCTTCTTATAAGGCTTTTAGAGACATGATGATCTATAGTAGAGATCAAATCACTCTTGAGGATGTGAAGAGCAATCTACAAGCCAAGTTACATATTGATAATGAGATGACCAATTTGGAGAAAGGAGTTCAAGGCGTTGGTTTGGTTGTTGATCGGGGTAGGTCGAAGGACAAAACCCCGAAATATTCAAGGACCCGTTCAAAGTCAAGACACAAGAATCTCACATGTAATTATTGTAAGAAGAAGGGACACATTCTAGCCGATTGTTTCAAGCTCAAAAACACCCTCCTCTCCAGTGTTCACCTTTATAAATCCTATATGACTTTGTAGTTTAGGCATCTCCCTCTGCTGGACAAGCTGCAGTAAGTTTGACATTCTATTTCCATAGAAAATCATCATATGATGCACTCTATTCTACTTTTCTTCATGTGTAGGCCAGATACGCTGGAAGTTACAGGTGAAACTGACATGCTATAAAATTTCATATTTCTTTGCTCCATCTTTTTTCTTTCCGGATTGTTTAGAATAAAAAACGAATATAATGGTTTGTGTAATGTATTTTATATAAATTATGTGATGCCATCATAATGTGTTCTCTATTCTTGAGTTCACTAGGACTTATAAAGTGTCTTAGAACAAGAGGAATTTTTTTATTGTTTATGGTTGAATTTTTTATTGTTGTTTTTGTCATGATCCCTTCTCTGCTATTGCTAACCGCGCGCAATGAGACTTGTAACAGCCTAAATGAAAAACATGTTGCTCGCCTTTTCTTTTGATTGTTTCTCATGCAGTATCTTTATCATTACTAACTACATATTGGAATCTGTTGTAGCTTCATTGACGAAAAATGTGGTTTGCCTTTCTTACATTATATGCATGGTACTTGGATTCTCCCATATGTCAGTACTTAAAGTTTAATGGTGGTTTTAAATTATATTTCAATTTAAAGCCTCGTTGAAGAACTTGCTATCATTGCAAAAGGACGGCGAGCTTATTGAAGAGACTGTCAATGGATTGGTTATGCGTTTAATGAGAAGAATGTGTGGTCTTCAAGAAAACAATGGTATTGTCTTTTTTCACATTATATAATTGTGAGTTATGATTCACAAATTGGAGTTGTTACCTTTATCTTTACCAATATTTCTTCCCTATTAAATTAATCCCTGCTGTAATCTAGCATTTGATAATATGCTTCAACGTGTATATAGCAACTAGTTTTAAACAAAATATGCATACAATTTGAGCTTCAGAAATATTCATACATCTTCTGTTCTGAGTGGCATTGTTGCGGCTTCATGATTATTGAAAATGCCACGAGCTTAGGAATAGACGAAAGAGGGTTCTGGGCCTTGTCCATCAGCATTTATCAAGGGAAAGATTTTCTGCATTCCACATATAGCATTTGAAGTGCACAAATCATGGAAAGTATTTGTATTGCTAAACCTAAGTTTTAGAGAACTTATTATCATGTTATATGTATGTGTGCATTGATAGAATGAAACCAACGTGAGCCTTTTAGCCTGGAACAACTTCATCCGCGATACCAGTTAAGTAACACATGAAAGACAGCATGATGTTTGTGTAGGCAGTGTGACAGTTAATTCATAGGGGGTTGTGGGATTTATTCTACTCAGGAGTTATTCCTGGAGAGAAGATTTCTTCTCTTAACAAAATGATGCAGATGCACACGTGCACACTCACAAGAGCGTGCCCGATGGTCCATTACATATTGTAACTGCAATGCCCTCAAACAAGGATGGGGAATCATGCAATTTACTTCTTGCATTTTGATGGATTAAATCGCGCGTTTGATTTACCATCTGTTTTTACTATTTTGACATCTGATTTAAGCATTGATTACTTTTTTTTCTCCCTTTCTTTTCATCAGGATATTTGAAATCTGATTCAGATGCCCAGTTTTATGCCCAACACTTAATCCGCAAGCTGGGACATGAGGCCTTTGTTGGTCAACGCGTAATGCTCATAGTTTCTCAAAAGGTTTCAATAGTAGCAGACAGCTTACTTGTGATGGATCCTTTTGACAAGGCTTGCCCGGCAATGCATGGCAGCATGTATATGATGTAAGTATACAGATTCTTGTAATTTTCTGATTACAGTTATGGACTTCTTCTGATGAATTTTTGTGGGGAAAAACTCGGGGCTCAATAGAGCAGGGTCTTAGCGAATAGTAGTGTAGAAGTAATAAAAAAAACACACAGATTTACATGGAAAACCCCTTAAATCTTTTTGGGGTAAAAATCACGGGTAAGAATAGAAGAATCCACTATGAGAAAAAAAATTAGGAGTTACAATCTCTCTTTACAAGGAGAAACTCTCTATTTTTTCTCTCACACTCTTCTATATGAGGAGTTGTTTCTGGGATGGATTTTTCTAGAAGAGTTTTGTGCCTATTTATATGCAGCTGAAATCACTATGCACTAATTTTATAATATCATTTTACTGTGTACTTTTCCTCATTTCAAAATATGCAGCTGCTTTCGGTGCGAATTATTTAGCGGGGCCCACTCACTTTTTCTTTTTTTAAGATTTCCGGTTGACAATTTTCTATTTGAAGATTTGATTGAGTAGCAATCATATCTCCACACCATTTTTTCTATCTTGCCATCTTCATGTTGCTCACGTTTCTGACAGACTACAAGAAGATCGACACCAAATAAATTTATTAGTATTGACTGTTTTTGTCAAAAAATATGCTAGGTTATCTTTGGTGTGAATTTTCTGCATATCCACTGTTCCTTTTTCCACTTTCTCACGAACGAAGCAGTACTGAACTCGAATGTGTTTTGTCTTTGAACAGAAAACTAGATTTTTTGCTAAATGCAAAGCACTCTAACTGTTACAAAATAGATAAATCTTCTTTTGTTCATGTCCGAGTTCCTCCAGCACCATCTTCAACCATATCACATCTTTACTAGTTTTAGCTGCTACATATTCTGCTTCTGTTATTGAAGTAGCCACAATTGACTGTAGTTTTAAAATCCAGCTTACAGCTCCGCCAGTATAAACACATAGCCTGTGATGGATTTGCTATTATCATGATCACCTGCATAATTAGAATCAACATATCTATTGATAATAAAATCTGATCCCCTATAACATAATGCAATATTTGTGGTTCCCTTAATGTATCTTAGGACCCTCTTTACAGCATTCAATGCTCTTTACCATGATTCGTCATGTATCGACTAACTACTCCCACTGTTTGTGCAATGCCTAGTCTTGTACAAATCACAACTAACAGTAAACTTCTCACTGCTGATGCATACGATACTCGAGACATTTCCATCCTCTCTTCTTCACTGCTAGGACTCATACTGGAGGATAACTTAAATTAACAGGAAGTAGGGTAGAAATTGACTTACAATCCTGCATGTTAAAATACTGTAAGATTTTCTTCAAATAGTTCTTCTGAGAAAGCCAAATCTTCCTATTAATTCTGTCTCGGTAAATTTGCATCCCTAAAATCTTATTTGCATATCCTAAATCCTTCATTTCAAATTCCCTAGCCAATTGTGTATTTAATTCTTTGATACGATCTTTGTTGGGGCCTGCAACCAACATGTCGTCAACATACAACAATAAGATAACAAAGTTATTTTCACCAAACCTCTTGAAATATGCATAAGGATCTGAATTAAGTCTGTTGTATCCAAGGCTCATGATGAATGAATCAAATCTATTGTACCAACATCTCGGCACCTGTTTTAGACCGTACAGAGAATTGTTCAATCTGTAAACTAAGTTTTCTTTCACTTTTTCTTTAAAACTTTCTGGTTGGAGCATGTAAATTTCTTCTTCAAGATTTCCATGAAGAAATATTTATTTTCACATCTAGTTGCTCTAGATGTAAGTCAAATATAGCACTCATAGCTAGGACTATTCGGACTGTTGTAAATCGACCTACAGGAAAAAATATTTTATTAAAGTCAATACCTTCTTTATGAGCTTATTCTTTTATTACCAATCTAGCACGATATCACTCCACTTGATCATCTCCATTTCGCTTGATCTTGTAGATCCATTTATTTCCAATAGTCTTTCTTTCTTGTGATAGTGACACAAGTACCCAAGTCTTATTCTTATGAAGAGCTTCAATTTCTTCCTACATTGCTGCCATTCATAAAGATACATCTGTACTATTTATAGCTTCATAAAAAGTTGATGACTCTCCATCCTCTGTTAGAAGACAATATGCAATATTACTCTCCGTAATATACTTTGAGTGCCGAGTCGGTGGTCTTCTCTCACGAGTTGACCGTCGAACTTCTTTCTCTTCACTTTGCAGTTGGTTTTCTACAAAGATAACATCTCTACTGACGATAACCTTGCGGGCAGTGGGATCTCACAAGCGATACCCCTTTACTCCGTCAGCATACCCTAAGATTATATATTTTCTGGATTTTGAATCAAACTTTATAATTTCTTGAACATTGTACATTACGTCTGGACTTCTAAACATTGTATAATTTCTTGAACATTGTCCACATCTCCATCGGTATCTTGAACTGTATTGCGATTGATGGAGATCGATTCACCACATAATAGGTGATTTTTACTGCTGTCGTCCAAAAGACTTTATCCAGATTTATAATTGTCAACATTGTTCTTATTATTTCCAACAGAGTTCTGTTCATCCGTTCTGCCACTTTATTTTGTTGAGTAGTATAAGCAGTATTGATTTGTCTTTTGATGCATTCTTTCTTACAGAATGCAAGAAATTCACCGTCTGTATATTCTCCTTCATTATCTGATCTCAAGCACTTGATCTTCTTTTTAGATTCAAGCTCGACTCGCGCTTTGTAGACTTTAAAGATTAAGAACACATCCGCCTTCTTCTTGATTAGATACACCTAATATCTCCTGGAATAATCATTAATGAAGAACATAAAATATTTTGCTCCTCTCATGGATATAACTGGTGCTTGCTATACATCAGAATAAACCAGTTGCAGAGTAGCCTTACTTCTAAAACTCGATGTGTTGAACTTTAGCCGATGTTGCTTACTTGTAACACAATACTCGCAGAAGGGAAGAACTACCGAATTAAGTCCAGGAAGCAGTTTCTGATCGGAGAGAATCTTCAAGCCTCGTTCTGACATGTGGCCTAGTTTGTGTTATCACATCATGGTTTGTTCTTCTTCACGGCTGATTGATGTCACACATGAATCAGCTTTCTGTAAGGTTTTTCCCTTGAGCATGTATAGATTTGCAGCTATCTTTTCTCCTTTTATCATAACAAACGCCCCTCTAACAATCTTCATGATCCCGTTTTCTATATGAGTCTTGCATCCGAGCTCATCTAATTGTCCTAAAGACAATAGGATCTTTTTAAGTCCTTCACATGTCGCACATCTTGAATGGTGTGTATTATACCATCAAATATTTTAATTTTGATAGTGTCAATATCAGAAATCTCCAAGACATGATCATTGCCCATGAATACAGATCCTCCTGAGATAGGTTCATATTTGTGACACCATTCTCTTCGGGAGGTCATGTATCAGGAGATTGCTGAATCTAGAAGCTAAACATCAGCAAACCTCTTTCTGTCTTCATCAACAGTGCTTGCTCCACTGTATAGAATTTCACCATCATCTGACGTGCTGACAATGCATCCTTGAGATGTTGATGGCTCTGAACTTTTTATCACCACTCTTCTTATTGTGCTAGCACTCCGATTTCACGTGCTCTCTTTTGCTACAATTGCAGTATTTTATATTCTTCTTATTTTTTGATTTTGATCTACCATGAGTATGACTCCCACTAGAGCCACGTTCCGTTGATCTTCCTCTCGTCACCAATAAGGCCTTCGCTTGTCGCGAACTTGTCTGTCTGTCTTCCTTGTTATTGCACCGATTTTCTTTCTCCAGAACAGCGGCTGCAACATCGTCGAAGACTAGATTGTCCGTGAGGACGTTGTTTGTTAGGTTGATGATGAGCTAATCATACGAGTCAAATAGACTCTGAAGTAGAAATTCTGCTCGTTCATTCACACCGATTGTATGTTCCATCGTTGTGAGTTGGGAAAATAGTATGTTTAGGGTGTTGATGTGGTCAGTTATCGATGTAGATTCCGCTATACTCAGAGTGTAAAGTCTTATTTTTAAGAAGATTTTGTTGTGCAGGGATTTTACTTCATATAGCTTTGTTAGAGTATCCCAAATCTTCTTTGCTGTCTTCTTCTCTTCTATGCTTGACAACACCCCATCTGCTAATGTCAGATGGAGATTTGTAATAGCATTCATGTCCATCTCATTCTACTTCTTATCATCTGTGATGTCATCTGGCCTTACATTGATGACCTCTAGACAATTACCTTTTCTCAAGATAGCATCTATCTTCAACTTTCACAGTGAGAAATTACTCTCGTTAAATTTCTCGATCTCGAACTTCGCCGTCATTACTTCTACCACGAACAATAACTTCTTCCTATTTCACGTAAACAGTAACTGTGCTTATAAACAGTAACCGTACTAGTGAATAGTACTATATTAGTGAATAGTACCATATTTATGAACAGTATGATACTCGTGAACAGTACCGTACTCATGAATAGTACCGTCGCTTTTAAAGGGTAAATGATAATCTAACTTATTTTCTGATGTGGATGATCCACCTTTGGTGGCAGCCACAGAGCATACGATAAATAGATACAAGCATCCTAAATCTGGCTATGATACCACTTGTTGGGATAAACCCAGGGCCCAATAGAGTAGGGTCGCAGCGAATAGTAGTGTGGAAGTAATAAAAAAACACACAGATTTACGTGGAAAACCCCCTAAATCTTTTTGGGGTAAAAATCACAGGCAAAAATAGAAGAATCCATTACGAGGAAAAATTTAGGAGTTACAATCTCTTTTTACAAGGAGAAACTCTCTATTTTTTCTCTCACACTCTTCTATATGAGGAGTTGTTTCTGGGATGGATTTTTCTTGAAGAGTTATGAACCTATTTATAGGTAGCTGAAATCACTATGCACAAATTTTATAATATTATTTTATTGTGCACTTTTCCTCATTTCAAAATATGCGCCTGCTTTCGGTGCGAATTATTTAGCGAGGCCCACTCACTTTTTCCTTTTTCAAGATTTTCGGCTGATAATTTTGACAATGCCTTTTTTCGAAGATTAGCACTTTGTGTTTGATGTAAACATGACCTGTAATACCTGAGGAAATTTGATCCTTTTAACCAGATTACTGGAAAATGTCTACGTAAGTTCATTATAATTGATCGCCTATGCTTGCAAGCTTGCTGGCACAGATTCAATGTTAAAGCTTTATCATGTTCGTTTACATCCTTTGTTGATTGCCGAATGGAAACTTAAGACAGGAAACTTAAGACTAATTAATATATTTGTCACAAGCTTTATTATGTAGGGCACTTCCTCCAATAAGATCTCTCTATTTGTAGTAGAGTATCCTTAACCAATATATCAAACAAGAAAAGGTGGATTGTTCTTGGAAAATTTTTTAGACCCGCAAAAGGACCCATGACGAGCCAACAAATGACAGTCTCAACATATAGAATATTTTACCCTTTCACAGATTTGATCGGTTTTCTGAAGTTCAACAACAAATATTCTGCGTCTTTTAGAAATATATTTATTGCTACAGTTTGAATTTCTATAGAAATATAATTCAGAAAGCAGTCTCTTTTGGTTTGATCTTTTTGCCAGGTGATCTCCAACATAAACTAAGAGTTTATAGTAAGCTCGACAGACATCAAAAGATGCCATTAGTTAAGACATAGTTTTCTCTGGTCAACGATGAGTAACATTCCGGAGACCATTAAAAGCTTTGTCCTTAAGATAGCTATCTTAATATCAGATGCACAATTTCTTGTCAGAGTAAACATGTTTATGCATAAAGTGCGTTATATAGTAGATGATGACTAAATGTATTGGGATTGGCGAGAGTCAAATATAATATGCATCTTTCACTTCCTATAGTTTCAAATATAACGTCTTCCACGTGTTTTCTTTTGATTAAAGCAGGATTCAACTGATGGAGTTATTGATTTTGGATTCTGTGCAAGAATGGACAAGTAATGAAGATTTTGATAAAAGTATCTCACTTCCCTGCTGTCCTTTCACCCTGGTAGATATGTCTAGTGAATTCAACTGTTCATCATTTTTTTGTTGCTTTTTATGCATTAGTTGTTTGGTCAGTTGATTCAGTATATGACATAGTTAAATCGACCATATACTTAGTTAACTTGTAAGACATGTTTCTTTTTATACGGTTTGCCAAAACAGGCAGTAATACTGGACTATGTAACACCAACATTATTCTTGAGAAGGCTTTTCATTTATCAGACATTGTTAATTTACACACTTGCTGTATGGAAAGCTACTTCAATATATGTTTCAATTGATATCTTTATAAATGAATTGTTTGTAATTCTTATAAAAATGATTGCAACTTAATTCTGGAAAACCTTTAGTCTTTTTACATCATGTCTTACCCTATTTCATTGACTTGAACACTTCATTAACTTGAACACTCAAACTTATAGCAGTTGTATTTGAACAACTGGGCCACATTTCTCAGATCTGATTTTCATTGTGCATGATTTAACCAAATGCCACTTGTTTCATGGTTACAGGGGAAGGTCGATTCCTAGGATGTATGATTAATCTAAAAAACTCTTAAATTTTAAACTTCTGTTGGATTTTCATAACTGGGCAAGTTTTTACAACTTATATAAGATTTATGATACAGCAAGTATCTAATGTATGTGATTAGTGCAACTCAGGACGTTTTCAACTGTAGATAAGTGATAAAAGACGAGCATACAAGCCATGCATATTATAGTTCCAATTTGTAAGCATCAACACATCTTTTGGTTCAAGAGTCCACAAACTGGTTGTGATTGTCTGAGCAGGAAGGACCAGTTTAAGCAAGATCGGGAAAAAGAAAAAGCATGTCTCAAGTTTTCAACTTTAGAATGGAGGGAGATCTACTATGTTTGATTGCTTTAGTCAATAATGAAATCCTTTATGATCGGGATTTCAGTGAAGAGGCCAGTCAATTCTTCTGTTATTCTCTTTGAAGAAAATAATATTTTGTTATGTTTCTATATATGTTAAGCATTACCCAGAATATCAGTAGATCATCAAAACGTGTTATGCTAGCCTATGCTTCTTTTTTTAAGATGCTATTCAGACCTATCTTACCACAGTGCGCATGCGTATCATCTTTTATTTTGAAATTCATATATTGTTTCGGATGACCGGGCTTCCAAATGGTACCAACCTTCCGGAGTTAATTTTTCTTTTGATCTAGTTCTACATATTTGTTTCCAAGCATTAATTAGAGCAGTATCACTTGGCTGTTAATAACCATGATTTGGAAAGAGAACGCCTTTTTAGTGTTTCAGATCATAATTTTCTCATACTGTTTTTTAACTCGTTTCATTTTGTCAAAGGTTATGGGTCAACTCAGACTCGTGATGGATAGTAATTTTCTCTCAATTCAGGAATTTTTGAAGAATGGGTGAGATCGATTCTACAAGCACGCAAGAGTTTGGAATTATTGGAGTGCAGGAATAGCCTATACATGTTATATATTGAACGGGTAATTGGCGAATTGGTGAAACAGGTGAGCCCTCTAGCAGAACAAGGAAATCTTGATCCGCAGATTCTCTCTGATCTTATCTGCTGCTGATGAGGTCTCGCTTTCACCTGGCGATTCTATAATAACTCACTAAAAGAGCATGAGGTTTCATAGTTTTGACCGAGAAGTCTGTGTCGTGAATCAATACAGGAGTACCTACAAGCAATATAGAAACTGTCTTTATGGATATAGAAATGACTCTCATTGCAGAAATTTAGGTAAAGGTAATTTTCATGGCGTTGTTAAACATTTTCTGTGCAAGCAAAATTTCTTTCACAACAACTTTGTGGTTATTCATCCAAGTAATATACAAGGGTACTACAAGAAATAATGCTGTCCTAGTCTATGCATCTTCAGGTGCGTGGCTCTTTCTTATATTTTTACTTTCACATGTGATTATCTGTATCTATTGCAATAAACGTCCGATTTCTTCAGTATTAGATTTAGAACATGTTTGGATGGTACTTGTAGGATTGGGAAAATGAAATATGCTATGGGCTCAAAAAAGGATCCTTTTCATAAGATGCTCCAAAAATCTTCATTTACGAGGGTTTGCTATTCTAGAAATCTAATGAATGGCAACAGCATCCAGCTGCCTGCGGCGCTGGAAAGTACATCCACTATTGAAAAGTAATCGACTCCTTATTAATTTTATTAATTTGTGTAAGTTTGATCTCTATTGTCATCATCACAGATTCCTGCTTTTGTCCTTTATCTACTTCGAGAAGAAACAATGCATTTCATTTTCATTTAAAGTTAAAGTCCATGTGCAATAATAGATTATAAGATACGCCGTTTCTTTTCGATAGATCCGGCTTAAATTTTGTAAAGGAGTCTGCAAACTTTCTTGATTTGCGAGTGAGGTTATACTAGGTGAGTTGGATTATGAGTTCTTAAGTTATGTAACCAAGGGAAAAGTAAGAAAGATTATGCATAGCCTTTTGTTCGGTTGCAAAACGTCACCTAGATGCAGTCTGTCTGGTGCTTTATCCAACTTGCGTGTCCGTCGTATACGATGTGCATCTCCAGTTCAACCCAACATATAACGTAAGGCTAGCAAAGAGCCTATCCGAGTTTGCAATCCTTTTTCACTTTAGACCATGTGCTGCCCATGCCATTTCCCCACAAAAACTTTTCTATGGACTGTCATTTGGGGCTCTAGACAAAAGATATTTGTTCCTGCTCCTATTTAATCAACCTTAAAGCTTATCTTTCCGTCCAATTAATCCCTAGCTAATAACATAGCTCACCCTTTGTCAACTCTCCTCCAGTTTCATTTGCTCAAATCATAGAGATGAGACTTGCGCTGGCTCTATGTCTTCTCTTCGTTCTGATATCCGAATCATACCAGTGTTTGGCTAATGAAAACTCTCATGAGGGTGTGGACCTGCAAGATAAAGGTGAGTTTGCTGAAAATTTGGGTGCAAACTTAGCTGGTTAGTTATCATATAATATGGATACTTATCGGTAAGATCGAAAGATTTAAGTGTTGAGCACATCCTTTTGGTTTTAGGGAGAAAATAAGACATTCATTTCACATAATTAGTGCTACACACCGGAATATACTGTAATAAATGCTATTTGATAGGCCTTGCATTCAATGCTAATATTTGGCAAGCTGAAGCTGATAAATTAACAATCTATTCCACCTTTGTAATACTTTTGTAATTTGTTTGCCTGCTTTAATTTTCTCTTTTGCTCACGTACACCCTGTGATCTCTTGCATTCTTCTCCTTTCAATATTTTTTTTTTCATCGATTAATAAATTGCAAACTTCTTCTATTATTTTGTTTTCGATCTGCAGTAAAAGATTAGTAAAATTTTGTCCAAACTTTTTTAATGGAAAATATGCTAAGACGATGAAGATGACAGACATGGATGATCGACCCCTAAGATCTTCACTACCATACTTATTTATTAGTAGGATCTTTGGATGATAAATTTCGAAATTATAAACTACTGAGCTATGGAAAGTTGTCACGTGGTTTGCATGAGACACGGTTTGAATAATTTTGTCCCTATGATTTAGACGATTTTCCTTTTCAACTCGATCTGTGGCTTGATAAAATACATACATATATGAGATTACATTAGACCTTTATGTCAGTCGTTGGTTCATGATGGTTTCAGCTAGCATGTATGTCCAAAGTTGGTGGTAATTTTGTGAAAGGTACCCATCATCATTTTTATCCTTTATCATCGTCGTTCAAATATCTTGTTAGGCGTACATGCTGCCCACGTAGCGAGCCAAAGTGAGGTGGAAGGTGTAGAGCAGAGGCTGAGCCGCACGGTTAGAGGAGGAGGAGGAGGAGGAGGAGGAGGCAGAGGTGGGAAGAATACGGGCGGAGGAGGCTATTCGCAAGTCATCCGCCAGCCTCCCTCCCATCGAAAGAGCGCTGCCTCACCTTCAGCGCTGCCGCCNNTTTTCTTGGTGCTCTTGTGTTCGTTTGATCAGTAGCTGTAATCCCTCGAAGAAGAATGAAAATTGTTTGGTGGAAGCAGTCAATTTTTGTTTTCCTTGGTGCACTTGTGTTTAAGCATAATAATCAGAAAAAAAGGAATAATGTTGGACTCACTGCAGCCTACTAGTCTACGATGAACAAATATCATATGGAAGTTCAAATTTGACCTCTCTTAATAGAGTGACGTATCAACCTCTGCAACTGGTAGGATGAGATCAAAATGCTAAATTCCAAAAAATAAAATAAAAAAAATATTACAGCTTACTTTTGACATTAAACTAAAAGGAACACTGAACAATTTGACCTTTAACGGAAGAAGGATCGGAGGAAGATAAAAAATTATACGACCCTTGTTGGCTGCGAAAGCTGGCAGAACGGCTGCAAGCGGATCTATCTCCTTGCACCGCGTCTGCATATATGGCAGGGGATCTATCTCCTTGAATTTTTTTATGATATTTTTAAACATTATAAAAAAAATTCAAGGTAACAGATTTTAGTACTAAACTGGGATCAATATGGTTAGATATCTTAATTGATTCCCTAAGAAAAATATATCAACTGACGTAATAGTATCTTCAAGCAGAATAGTAAAAAAATTAAGTTAAATCGGTACTACATGTCATATTCCAAAATCTGCTATCTCAAGCTATAATATGGAGCCAAGCATGAATAACAGTATCATTATGAACTGTGTTTCTAGCAATAAAGAAATCACATTTCTTATTGCATTGAAAACAGAATTGCACAACACTTCTGGACATTATAAGCTCATGTTTTATAATAAACAATCTCAAAAAGCAAGCATTTAAAAAAGTACGACGAACATGACACACTCACGCACATAATAGTATCTTCAAGCAGAATAGTAAAAAAAATTAAGTTAAATCAGTACTACATGTCATATTCCAAAATCTGCTATCTCAAGCTATAATATGGAGCCAAGCATGAATAACAGTATCATTACGAACTGTGTTTCTAGCAATAAAGAAATCACATTTCTTATTGCATTGAAAACAGAATTGCACAACACTTCTGGACATTATAAGCTCATGTTTTATAATAAACAATCTCAAAAAGCAAGCATTTAAAAAAGTACGACGAACATGACACACTCACGCACATAATAGTATCTTCAAGCAGAATAGTAAAAAAAAATTAAGTTAAATCAGTACTACATGTCATATTCCAAAATCTGCTATCTCAAGCTATAATATGGAGCCAAGCATGAATAACAGTATCATTATGAACTGTGTTTCTAGCAATAAAGAAATCACATTTCTTATTGCATTGAAAACAGAATTGCACAACACTTCTGGACATTATAAGCTCATGTTTTATAATAAACAATCTCAAAAAGCAAGCATTTAAAAAAGTACGACGAACATGACACACTCACGCACATAATAGTATCTTCAAGCAGAATAGTAAAAAAAATTAAGTTAAATCAGTACTACATGTCATATTCCAAAATCTGCTATCTCAAGCTATAATATGGAGCCAAGCATGAATAACAGTATCATTATGAACTGTGTTTCTAGCAATAAAGAAATCACATTTCTTATTGCATTGAAAACAGAATTGCACAACACTTCTGGACATTATAAGCTCATGTTTTATAATAAACAATCTCAAAAAGCAAGCATTTAAAAAAGTACGACGAACATGACACACTCACGCACATAATAGTATCTTCAAGCAGAATAGTAAAAAAAATTAAGTTAAATCAGTACTACATGTCATATTCCAAAATCTGCTATCTCAAGCTATAATATGGAGCCAAGCATGAATAACAGTATCATTATGAACTGTGTTTCTAGCAATAAAGAAATCACATTTCTTATTGCATTGAAAACAGAATTGCACAACACTTCTGGACATTATAAGCTCATGTTTTATAATAAACAATCTCAAAAAGCAAGCATTTAAAAAAGTACGACGAACATGACACACTCACGCACATAATAGTATCTTCAAGCAGAATAGTAAAAAAAATTAAGTTAAATCAGTACTACATGTCATATTCCAAAATCTGCTATCTCAAGCTATAATATGGAGCCAAGCATGAATAACAGTATCATTATGAACTGTGTTTCTAGCAATAAAGAAATCACATTTCTTATTGCATTGAAAACAGAATTGCACAACACTTCTGGACATTATAAGCTCATGTTTTATAATAAACAATCTCAAAAAGCAAGCATTTAAAAAAGTACGACGAACATGACACACTCACGCACATAATAGTATCTTCAAGCAGAATAGTAAAAAAAATTAAGTTAAATCAGTACTACATGTCATATTCCAAAATCTGCTATCTCAAGCTATAATATGGAGCCAAGCATGAATAACAGTATCATTATGAACTGTGTTTCTAGCAATAAAGAAATCACATTTCTTATTGCATTGAAAACAGAATTGCACAACACTTCTGGACATTATAAGCTCATGTTTTATAATAAACAATCTCAAAAAGCAAGCATTTAAAAAAGTACGACGAACATGACACACTCACGCACATAATAGTATCTTCAAGCAGAATAGTAAAAAAAATTAAGTTAAATCAGTACTACATGTCATATTCCAAAATCTGCTATCTCAAGCTATAATATGGAGCCAAGCATGAATAACAGTATCATTATGAACTGTGTTTCTAGCAATAAAGAAATCACATTTCTTATTGCATTGAAAACAGAATTGCACAACACTTCTGGACATTATAAGCTCATGTTTTATAATAAACAATCTCAAAAAGCAAGCATTTAAAAAAGTACGACGAACATGACACACTCACGCACATAATAGTATCTTCAAGCAGAATAGTAAAAAAAATTAAGTTAAATCAGTACTACATGTCATATTCCAAAATCTGCTATCTCAAGCTATAATATGGAGCCAAGCATGAATAACAGTATCATTATGAACTGTGTTTCTAGCAATAAAGAAATCACATTTCTTATTGCATTGAAAACAGAATTGCACAACACTTCTGGACATTATAAGCTCATGTTTTATAATAAACAATCTCAAAAAGCAAGCATTTAAAAAAGTACGACGAACATGACACACTCACGCACATAATAGTATCTTCAAGCAGAATAGTAAAAAAAATTAAGTTAAATCAGTACTACATGTCATATTCCAAAATCTGCTATCTCAAGCTATAATATGGAGCCAAGCATGAATAACAGTATC